GAGAGAGAGAGAGAGAGAGAATAAAGTCAGGCTCACAATACTACATGCACGTGAAAAGTAAATAGAGACCGTCAAATACCGACACACCTTGGTTTCAGTTGCCAAGTAGTAGTTTCTACTTGTATTTTTAAATATCAGATATCGATTCTAGCAGTATTTATTTGTTGTTGGTTCCGTCATGGTCATGGTAGATTCATTAAAGAACTAAGAGAAAGGGAAAGTTTACAATTGCCTACTCCGTGTGCGAACCAAAGAAATAATTGGGTTGGCTTGAGAGTTATGTTGCGAAGGCTCTTCTTCCGCTAGGCTCGGTTCTATCAGAGTTGGGCGTTTGATTTAGAGCTCCTACCTTTACAGCAGCCTAGCAGTAGTGAAAGGGTAGTTAGCAGACCCTTGGCATACTTTACGGATTGAGTTTTTGAAATACTTTGAAGAATAGGAGTTTTCCCTCTGTTCTAAAATCCTGATCCGTTACGCGCACAATTTTCACTAATTGTGAGGCAGCGTGGTGAAATCAGGCGCTCGTCAAAATAATGAAATCGAAGAAACCTGTACTTTCTCGTGTTTGTTTGTTTTTGTGTGTGGCTATTTCCATCTATTTTTTTAAAAAAAAAAATTTTTTTTGGGGGGGGGACTTTTTGCTCAACATGTTTGATGTCCATTTAAAAAAACATTTTCGTGTGAATTTTTACTGAAAAACGTTGATTAAAGGCATACAAAATGTAATTTTCCAGTTCCCAAGGACTCTCAAGCTTAGGAAGTCACCAAACTCTACTCCCGACACCAAGTGACCCCCACCTCCTTCAATCACAAATGTCTAGATTTCATCTCAAGACAAATGTGTATTTTAAAAGTTAAAAGCAAGACAAATTAACACGTTTTACAATGATAATTATAACTCCATAATGTTATACCCAAATAACGTGACGAGGGTTTGATTCAACCGCGTCTTGACACAGTTCTGTTCCCGGTCACTAATCCATCCCGTTTAGTCTTTTTCAAGCGGCTTACACCTTGGTCCAACCTCACAGAAATGATAAAATTGCTGCTTTGGCTTCGTTTTTTTCTACGTGGGTGTTAATCCAAACATTCACATTTCGATTTCTGTGGACAAATCTTTTTTTCTTTTTGTCTGGATCATATCAGGCTCAGTTTTTTCCTTGGCGTTACACAAGAAGATCATAAAAAAATAATGAAATCGGTGGAACTATTTTTCCGCCATGAATATCGATACTGTTGTGATCACCAGCAAACAAAAGCAAAACAAAAACAACAAAATAAAACAACCCCCCCCCAAAAAAAAGAAAACAACAGCAAGAAATAAAGAAACAAAAAAACCCCACCTTTATAATTATTGTCGACACAATGTTATTTGATGACGAGGCAATCGCAATATTATGGTAATTAGGATTTGGGGTGGGGGGCAGCAGGACGAAATACATATTATGGGGCGTGTTACAACAAAGGAGATCAAAATTCTTTCAAGTCAAACACATTTCAGCTCTTTGTTTAGCTTTAGTAAGAGCTTTACCGCCCTTGCAACACAGTTAGGTCATATAAGTGCTGAAGATTAAAGGCTTTACAAGAGAGTAACAAACACAAAAAAAACAACAACAGGAGGGGGGGGGGCAGATATAGAGGATAAATTATGTTTGGCGTGAAAAAGGAACAAAACCACACTTTGCTACAAACCAACGACGACCCACATTCCAATTCTACAATATTATAAGTGGGTGGTTGGCGGGTGCTCTGATGTGGTTTGCTTCTTCTTTCCAATCAAACATCTATCGTCCGTATCTCCCCTCCT